TTTTTTTTTTTTTTTTGTTTCAATTTTACCATCTATCTACTTTGTCTACTTTCAAGCTTTCATATTTCGCTTTCATATTAAGTAGAACTCAAATTATCCACGTCCCACAAAATTCTTTCGTTAAATTATCTTCTTCAATATTACGAATATAATATCTCAATAGCGCAAAATAAAGAAATATTTTGTAGTAATAATAATAACAATAATAAAAACGAATATCTTTTACATTCTCAAGTAACTCGAGCAATCGTGAATGAATCTCGAACAGCGAAAGTTGAATGACGTCCAGACAGCTTGGATATTCAATTAATTCTAATTATCCAATTTCTCATTCATTGGAAAATATTATTATTCATAAGTAACATCATTATCGTTTCATCTTTCTCATCACAATTATGCAATCCGATTAAACATTTCGAATGTGTAATATATAATGTATTATATGTATTATATATGTATTATATAAAACTGTTACAATTTATTCATTAATAAATTATATTGTTAATATTAATGTGATTTTTAAATTATACTATCTATTGAGCTAAGTGAATTAATTTTATTTATCATTGTTCAAGTAATTCGATTCCAAATAAATTAAATGACAAAAACATTATTGTATTCGATATAATAGTCTTGAAAACAAAACAAAGTATATTGATTGAAGGGACAAAAATAATATATTTATTTATTTATTTTCTACACATTCTATCGATATGGAATAAATTCGAATTCATTGTTAATTAAGAAAAATGGAGGTCAACTTTTTTGTAGATCGGAGAGCTGCGCAAAAAGCGGGTTACGAATGATATTACGGCAGTATTAAATTCATACAAGCTCATAAAAATGCTTGCACAACTTCTTATGAAATATGACAAAATTATAATAAAATGGAGACGAATAATATTTTATATTTATTAGATAATAACAATAAATTAAATCCAATAGTTTTATATATATGATATGTATCACAAAAATCTATTTAATTAACATCTTAAAGAATCTGCAAATGCAAAAATAACATTTTCAATATCAGCATAATTTTATTACGAATGATGAGATATATTCGATAGAAATTCGAAGAGATTGTAAAACTCAATAAAAATTAATATTGCTCGACATCGAAGAAGAAAATCGAGATGGAAGTGAAACACGATGATAATGATAATGATAATGATGATGATGATAATGATTCAGAAGAGAAACAGACTCATTGTCAGTCATCAAACCCTGTTGCAATATATTATCAATCGTAACCACGTTGCATTCTCTGACAGCTGATTAATCACTCAGTGTCAAGAGAATAAATAAAAAATAAACGCGATTCTAAGGAGGAAGAATGGGCACTTTCTTAATCAGACATTGCTATTATAGACAATACAAGGATGACGATCTTTTGACCTGTCGCGTTTTACTTTCAATGCTTTGCGTTTCACAATTGTTTTTCTTGAAATACGAGTTTCTTTTTTTCAACAACTTTATAATTACGTATAAATCTATCTTTGATAAAACACATATATAAATATTATAATTATATTAAACATCGAATTAAATTTAAATTGAATTTATTATATTTAAAAATCATATTTATTGCGATAAAAATCGTTTGTGAAAATAAATTCCACGGATCGAATAACAAATATAAAAATTGATGTACCGATTATTAAGGTTAGGTTAGATTAAATATTTATAATTAAACGAAGCGAGAGCCACCTAGAGCATACAATAAATTGCCATTTTAAAGCCAATAATTTTATAAAACCACTCTTAGGTTTATTACAAAATTTTTCACATTCTGATTAAGAGGAGAAAAAGAGATACCAAGAGAGATGAAAATCACAATAATTACAAAATTTAAGAATACAGAAATAGAAAAAGGCCACCATCCTTGGAAATAACACTTGTCTCTTTGTCTCTCTCTAATCAATTTTAAAAAACCAACTTCGAACGAATATGATCGAAATCTTCGATATTTTATCATGTGATATACTTTAACACTTGCCCGATTTTGTTTTCAGAAATGGCGTCGGCGGCAGCGGAGTTGGTGGTGGAGAGGGAATTGGAATCGAGAATCGAGATGGCAGATACGAATCGAACGTTCGTGGGCGCCCAAGGGCTGGTCAAGATGGCGTTGGACCAGTACACGGAAATCCTTACCACGGTTTCCGATCCACGGGTCAGTGACTGGCCCTTGATGGACTCGCCGATACCAACGTTTCTCATCGTCCTTCTCTATTTGTATGGAGTGACGATACTGGGTCCACGCGTGATGGCGAATAGGAAACCGTTCAAGCTGAGGGGGACCTTGCTCGCGTACAATGCGTTCCAAGTGATCTTCTCGTTGGGGATGCTCTACGAGGTAAGAAATGTCGGGATCGAGTGATAGAGAGGCAGATATTTTTGAGAAATATCGATCAATTAATCAATTCAATTGTTTAGATAATTTTGTTTAATTAATTTGTTGAAAGAAATTGTTATATAGTGCAAATTGATTTTTGAATATTCTTTTTTTTTATAATATATTGTGAAATAACATGTATAATAAATGTGAACAAATATTTCCATATTGGAATGAATTGTTTAAAATCAGAAGAATTATTCTCTTTTAAGTAAATGGAGAATTTCGTGTAAAGTAGTTTATTTAAATTTCAAATTTATTTTGCAAGTATTTTTTTAACACGTTGGATTTACAAAGAGTTAGAATTTATTTGGATAGATGTATTTAGGAAATAGGATTTGTATTTAGAAAATTTGATGTTGATTAAAGCAATGGTACACATGATCTCAAAACTAGTAGGAATGTAAAACAGATTTCATCATCTAAAGCGAAAAAAGAGACTTAAAGGCATCAAAATATTTTTCCTAATCCGGCTACCTCTTTGAATTCCTTATTTAGAAATTGCTAGAATTTCATTAGAATCTTTACACTATGTTATAACAATTATAAATGATAAGCAAAAGCCAAGTACTTTTTTATAAATACAAATTAAATATATTACACTACTATTTTATGGAATCTAGAACAGATCAATTTAAATCATTTCTATTGATTTCTAACCTAAAATTCCTTAAATATTATCTAGTCTGTTAATCTAACTTTTAAAAATATGATAATTGAAACCAAATAAGAAGGAATTACAATCAGATCAAAGATATATCTAATATATTAAATTAAATATAAATAAAATCATATAGTAATTTTATATTGAACATGCATTCAGTGTACAAGTCCATTGAATGCATTATATTGTAAACAAAAAACTATTAAACTTTATCCATTAATTATAGTCACAATTTAATTTTGAAAAAAATGATTCATCATCTCCAAAACTATTATTTTGTCTATTTTATCATAACCTATTTTATCATAACTATTATTATTAATATATTTCATAAAAAAGTATAAAATAAAAATACATTTAAAAATAAAAATTAAATTAAATTTGCTAGAAGGTTCGAGAACGTTTCGGAATTCAATAGGCTTTCTCTAAAACGCTAATCTGATGCGTCAAAGGTATTCAAAAGACGTTAGAATGTGTATTGGATGCTTCTTCGCCTCTCTCCGAAGAAGATCACGAATACAAGTGGGTCGAATGAAAATACCAGTCGGATTTTGTTAAGTCACGAGTCAGTTCGAAGTGTAACAGTGAAAGCGCTTAGCCATTAGCACTTGCACAGCCATGTAGCCGGTGATTCGAACGATCTTTTTCGTCGATAAACGATCACAATAGCTGCTACCGTTTAACATTAATGTTCTGAGAAAAATATCCAGATACGAGTAAAATATTTCTTCAATTTTTACGATGTATTAAATGTGGAAAAGTGTATTTTGAGTTTATTCTGTAAGATTAATTGGAAGTGTTTAAAATTTTATTTCATCAAAACTGAAATAAAGAACTGATGATAAATTGTTAAGAAAAGTAATGATAATGAAAAATAATTTTAAAATTAAACTAAATATCAAAATACTTTTGGGAAATACTTAAGTGTATTTGGATTTATTGGATCACGATGAAAAGCTATATATTTTGACATCCAACGAAATTATTTATCATTTCATTTGAATGATTTGGTATAGAGTAATTTTATTTTCTATAGAGAAGATCTCTTTGAGTTTTGAAAATATTTTTATAATACATTAAAATTTAAATTTCATATATTTAGACAAAAACACGAATCTAAAATTTATATTTGCAAGCTTATATTTCAAGAAATAAAGAACACTGAAATTTTTCTAAACTCTTCCATTCTTTCTGTTAGATAAAAAAACAAATCTATATCAAATCTTTTCATCAACTATTTTCCAATTCGTTATACGAGTTACATTATAGTAATAATTCAAAAATCAAAATGAATCTGTCCTCCTTTCTACTTTGCACGTACACATTTATTACATGCCTGCACAAACTTTCATAAAACTCCATAAATCCAAAATTAATAATCAGTTGAGCTCACTCAACGTGTACAGAGAGTTTCTTAATCGAGTGTAAGTTGGAATGTCGCGTTTCGCAAGCGCCCTCTATCGAATCTCACCAGAGCAAAGTCCACGGAATCAGACATACCTCGTGATCAAGATGACTCGAGAAATCACGTCCTTTGAAATACGTCGGTCATTCACACCGGATTCGTTCGTTTCTACATCTCAGTTTCGATCGAAATCCTTAACCGTTATGTTTTTATCACAATTTTGGATCTCTGGCCTTGTGAGAGAAGTGATTTCGTATGTTGGATCGAAGCAAAAAAAAATCGAAGGACAGGTGAAATTTATTTGAATGGAGAAAAAGATGATGCTAGGTTATGAAACGTTAAACTCGCATATTTAAATCGCATATTTAAATTTAAGAAAATTTTCTTGTCTATTTGACGAAACGAAGAATGAAAGAACTTTTACGAATTACGAATTATGAATTTCTATCACTTATACGATTTTATTTAATTTCAAATATAAAAATACATAATGTGACGTCACGATAAAAATTATTGCTACGATATTTACCAGATACTTTTTCCAAATCTATAGCAATTTGGAATCAAGTTGAATGTGATTAAGAAATATAAATCTAAATATAAAAAAACGTATTCAATCGTCTTTTTTTTTTACCATCATTTCGAAACAAATGATCCAAATGATTCTTTAATAAAAAGTACATCTATATTTGAACAGTTTAACAATAACATTCGTCGCGAAACATTCTCAAGTTTATGCCTTCTAACGAATAGGTGATCGGTAAGAGACCGAAACGATTTTCACTCTATTGCAACGCATGCATTAGTAAAGCAAATTCTTGATCGAAAGTGTTCACTATTAATCAAGAGTTTGAGCTATGATTAAAAGCAAGAAACATTGCGCCAAACATTCCCTTCTCCGACACAATTTTCGTTAATTAACTCGTCTATCAAATCGAAGACGGGACAGGCTATTGTACAATAACGTATTGCGTTGAATTCGTATAAATAACAAATTTCCCTCGTAAAGTATAAATGAAATAGAGCATTTCTGAAATAGTGATACGAAAAAGATTATTCTCGAAGTAAAAATGAATCGAGAGCACAGCAGTTTCGTATAGGTATACTAACCTAACCTCTTTCTGTTCAATCAAACAATCTTTTCCATCTTCTGTCAATAATGTGATGAACAGTGTGATAGTTTGACTAGTCCGTTATCTGGTTCTTTCTCGAAAAATGCACGAAAGATAAAATAAAAGAAACTATAGAATTTCTATTTCATTTAATTTGTCTCAGAAATTTTGAAAGAGGACAACAGCCGTGACGATCGATTTTCATGATAACTACACTAATGAAAGACAAGGGTGAGAAAGGTATATCCGTGGAACATGGTGTTGCAAAAGGGGAAAAGTTTACCCGATTCAAAAACGAATTGCTCAATAGATTTACACTCGAGCTGGCGATTTGTTAAAGGAAGGCATCGTATTTTCGAAATTTTTCCACGAAACTTTTGCGCATTATTCATACATCCAAATAAAAACAACAAAGTAAACGGTTTAGTTAGCCGAGAATCGAGAAATTTTCTAAAAATTAAATTATCATTGCAATAATCGTTCTTCTTTTCAAAATAATATCTTTTATAATATAAGAATTATTATTTGTAAATATTAACATTTATTATAATATCATTTATAATGAAATGTTATTTTAATTAAATAAAATAAAAAATATTGTAATTTCAAGCAATATTTTCTTTTGCAAAAATTTTCGTTATAGCTTTATTATATTATAAAATACACTGACCAATCACGAAGCACGTAATCTACCTAATCTACCCAATAATAGCGTTGGCTAAATATTGTCACCAATCATAACAAGTCTAAAACGACGAAGAAAGTGTATCAAATATTATTTATTTATTTATTTATTCGTTGTTCGTGATATAATTTCTTATCAAAAATTATTGAAAAAATATTTGTTATAACACATTCTTCGAGATATGTTATTTGGATTTATTCGGTCGGCAACGTAGCTAACGCTATTGCCGCGACTCGACTAGATTACATGCTTTGTGATTGGTCAGTATCTTTTGTTAATAATTCGTCATCAAAGACGAAAACGAAAGTTTTTGCAAAGGAAAATATTTCTTGAAATTATCTCAATTTTTAGGATATTCTGTATAAAATATTAATATATTCGTGAAGTAATGAATTCTAAAAATTTTAATAAAATTTGATATGAAAAAATATCAAATTAAAGATTATTTATTAAATTTACGAAAATCTAGATAGAATAAATAACTTATAATAAATAAATTAGCTTAAATCAATAATTTTGTATATCTATATATATTGCTATATTAAATTATACATATATATATACACATAATAGCACATTAATGATTAGTTCAAGTATCATAGTGAATTAACTTTTACGATTATCCATCAAATGAAATAATTCTTTGTAAAGAATCGATTTCTTAAACAATATTAGAAAAGCTTCAAAGTGTCATTAAATATATGTACATATGTACAATAAATTGTACATATAAGTAAGTAATCAATATCTCGAATCGATCGAAATCAGCACAAAACTGGAACGTATCTTCTTGAATGAACATTATAAAATATGTCGAGGATCACCTTAGAAAGTTGCTAGATTACCTTCTCGATGCTGAGTAGAAAAAAAAAAAAAAAAAAGAAATAATTGGATATCAAGAAAGTCGAGCGATTACGATGTTTTATACGATAACGATTTTCAACTTTTTTCGTGTTATACATGTATAAATTAACTCGATATTTCTATAAAAATATCTGTTTATTTATATTTATTTATATTAATTTCTAATCTACGAAAAAAGAATATATCAGAATGAAGAATTCATTTTTATTCTTCCTAATTTTCATATGGTCATATATTGGACAAAAATCTGGAACACATTAACAAAATGATAAATAATCGTAAAAAATTTATTCAAATACTTTTACGGGTTGAATTTCATTCGAATTAACTATTTCCGTGATGATTTGAATAGAAACTTGTCGCAGAAAGAAGAAAAATTCCAATTTGATTTCGAAAGGAATAAGAAGCTTCGTAATTTCGTGTATCTGTGTATATCGTGTATCCTGTTTATATATACATGTATATACGTATATGGATAGCCATTTCGAAATATTTCGTTAAAAAAATTACGTTGCCAAGTAGTTACACTATACGCACCTTATGATCGTTAAAATAAAACTGGAAGGAAAGTTATCCTATTATTCTCTTAGTGGAAGCGGTGATTTTTAAATAATTAAATCGTAATTGGGAAATCGAAGCGTTGAGTCAATAATATGCGTCAAGTCGAAAAAAAAAAAACTTTTTTCACCAACGAGAAATTACAAAATTGAGAATAAACTTTTCATTACGTGCTATTTGTGAAAATGTATCGTGCAAACGATAGTAATCGATGGTGCAATTTCGTTTCATTAATCGTAAATCGATGTTAAATTACTACTGTAGATTTTTGAAATAGATAATTCTTATTTCTTCGATTATGATATTGTTTAAAAAAATAGAACGAACAATGTTTCAAACAATGTGTAATAATATTTTAATAAGTAGTTTCCCAATACATGAGGAAATAATGTTTTAAATAATAATATATTTCGAATAAACATTTTCTAATTTTTATATTTTAAAGAGGTGCAAAATACAAACAAACAAATGCAAAAATTCATATGCAAATTAATTATTACTGAGCAATTTAAGTTTGCATTAGTTATAACTATTTTTAATTTTTTATTATTTGGATATTAAAAAATAACTTGAATTATTTATACATTACGTTATATACACTAGTAATGACGTTAATATATTAAAATTTACTTTAACTATTTGAAATATTCTTCTTTGAACGAAATACTATAATTTCAAAATAATATTCCCATTTATTTTTATTTATTTAGATTATCTATTTCAAAAATCTATCTTATATATTTCAACTTTGCTAAACACTAAGCCAATATTCTTTCCTCTTATTAAATCTTTGTCTCACTTCAATATAAATATTAATGAGGTTAGGTTATTAAACTTGTTCACATTGCTTACATAATTACATAATTATCATTAAACCTAGAAAACAATACCTTAACCTTGAACTTCTGCGTTTTACAGCACTTGATGTCCGGTTGGTTATTAGACTACAGTTACAAGTGTCAACCGGTCGATTACTCTCATAATCCGTCCGCGCTACGAATGGCTAATTTATGTTGGTGGTACTTCATCAGCAAATTCACGGAATTCGCTGACACGGTACGTAAAAGAATTGAATTGTTAATATCAAAAACATGGAATTAGATGGAATCGATCAAAAAATAGGAATTAATTATCGAAATCCTTTCGAATTCTTCAATGTTAATCTTAATTTGCAAGTCAAAAAAATTTACCGTTGAACTATGTACTATGTAAAATTATTGTTGTTGTTAATCGACTAATTATAAACTTAAGTTGAAAAAATTCGAGAAATTTTTTTTCAAATCTTAATTTCTTACAAGCAAAAAAAAAAAAATTGTTGCTAATCACTGAATCTGAATTTGAAAATTTCTATAAATCAATATCTTAAAGCTTTTCAAAAAATATAAATATAAAATTCGAATTCTGATTACTATCTCGTAATAATCTAATTTTCACAAGCCAAAAGAATAGTTATTATCGATTGATTTCAAATCTAACTTTGTGATTCTCAAAAAAAAAAAAAAAACTAGTTTTAAATTTAATTAGTTTTAAAAATCTAAAAATGTAATTTCAATCCATCTCTGATCAAAACATTTTCGATGCCAGACAATTGTACAGAGTTATTTCCCGAATTTCTTTCGTCATAGAAATTGATCACTGAGGCAGAAATGGTATCTGCCTCGCTATAGTCTATTATTATGATACAGAATACTGTTTTTACCGATCTTTTAATCGAAAACAAGTGTGTCGCGAGAGAGAAATTATTTTGTCCATGATAAAATCGTCGTATTTAAACTTGTTATGATTTTTCTTGCGAAACAAAGATCTTAGACTGAGTAAAATAGAGATTGTAATCAAATTAATCAAATGCTTTTTACTTTTTTTTTTTATAAAAAATGAACTTCATTATTTTTAATGAAAATTTCATGCTAATTTCATAATAATTTTCATCATTCATATAATAGCTAATAAGTAGTTTTATTATTTTCATTATTATTTATTATTCGTTACATTTAATGAATTGTTATTTCAATTAATAATCATTTAAATTAATAATAAACAATGAGAATAATAAATCTTTTCATTTTCTTAATGATGAAAATTATAATATTGATAATAAAAATAATAATAATTCGATATTAATAATGAAAGTAAATAATAAACTTATTTTATTAATAATAGAAAAATTGCCCATTGGTATTAATTTCATCATTTTTTTTTAATCTATTCCACAAACTTTCAGATATTTTTCGTTTTGCGCAAGAAGGAGAGCCAGGTGACATTTTTGCATCTGTATCATCACTCACTAACTCCTCTGGAGACATGGATCTGCGTGAAATTCATTCCTGGGGGACATGGTACTTTGGGAAACCTTATAAATAACGCGGTGCATGTAATAATGTACCTTTACTACATGGTATCTGCTATGGGACCGGAATATCAAAAATACTTATGGTGGAAGAAACATCTCACTACCGTACAATTGGTAGGTATATCGTTTTAAACAAAGAAACGTGGCATTTTTTCATAATTCTATCTTGTTAATAAGTTTATGAATATTTTTAAATATCCATATCTATATCAACATTAAAAATAATTCAATAATTTTTAATAATTTATCATTATATCAATTTTAAAAATGATCTGTCATTTGTTACTTGAAAATGTGGCAGTAGTGTTGGGTATGTGCCATCAAAGAATCAAGTCAAATTTGAGCAAATAATCGAAATAACATGTCATGTTCTCTTGGCTTCTAGAATCGATCTTTTAAAAGTATTTTCAAAATATATTGACACGTTTCAGATTATTATTCTCATAATTTAAGTAAATTTTAAAGAAAATCAATAGTTAAATGTCTATATGTAAAATACAGAGGATATAAAAGTTTTGGGGTTGATGAAGTTTAACAACAATTGATCTAAGCAAATAAAAAAATTCTCTTGATAAATAGATACAAAATCATGTTTTGAAACAATATGTATTTAAGAGAAACAAGATTTCAATATCTTTATTCGATCGAAATATTAATGAATTTTTATTTTATGGGGAAGAAATGTTATTTTCAATTATTGTTTTCAAGTTAAGAGATAAAGTACTTTTATTTTTTCACAAAAACTAAAATAGAAGAACTAAAGTAATATATTATTAAGATAATATCTATGTGGTAACATCATAGATATTACATTGATACAAGTAAATACAGGCAATAGAGAAGAAAAAAAAAAAAGAGAAAGGATTTTATTACGTCAAAATGAATGGTATTTAGTCTCACGTTCACCAATAAATTGCAAGTTGCAAAATTTTCTTCATCATTTTTAAGAGATGTGCATCTGCAGATGCAATCATTTACACTTCGATCTGCAATACAAAAAGCAATGCATCTCACATGCTTAGAAATATCAAATATCCAAGAAAAAAATATATATATATATATATTTATATATATACACTTTATCTTTTGAATAATAGAATCGATATCATTTTGACTAAGTTCATTTAGCTTTAGCAAGAGATTCATAAAGATACATAAAAATAAATTCGAAAATACATTGCAAGAAAAGAGAAATACAACTATATTTTTTACGATACGTTCCTAACCTCTAAAAAATGGTCACAAGACACAAGAAAGATATCAAATGTTTCTTAACCATGAGCAAGATATTCTAAGGTAACTAATATAGTTTATACGATACAGATGAGATCTTGCGAAGATATTAATCTTATTCTTAAAACATGAATATATTTAAGAGAAAAATCTTTGAGATTTGCTTTGAAAAATATTTTTTACAAATGCATTACAAATGGGTATCCAAAAATAATTTTCATTATTAATATAATAATAATGTCCATTTGTGAAAAGATATTTTTCAAAAATTTCTTGAATAAATTCATGTCTCAATTCAATGAATAATATTCAGATTATTCTTGTTATATCATACAAACGATAATTTTTTTAATTACAAAATATCTCGTCCATAGTTTTTAAAGAGATCACTATCAATTATCAATTATAGGCAGTGACTTTTTTAGAATTCAGAAGAGGTTAGAAAATACTGTTTAAAAAGACATGAAATTTCTAGTTAATAATAAATAAAAAATAAAAGAATAAACAGAGAAAGAAAAGAAAGAATAAATAATAATAATAAAAATAATAATAAATATCTTTTTAGATAGAGGTTAATGATTTCTTAATCTTCGAAGATTAGGATTGGCATGTAATTCCAATCCCTGAGCACAAATGATTAAATCGCGCAATACTTAAATGTCCAATAGCGCCAAATACATTTTAGAATGAAATTCGCGATACCTTCTTCTTGCACAACGTGCATGTTGCAGTTGGGCTAGATAATAATCTGCATTTGATGAAAGTGAACGGAACCACGACACATCGACTATAATGTTTGCATATGCGCGCCATTTCAGCATTGGTGTTCAGATTTCACTGAT